CCTGGTGTCGTCGCATTACCGGCCTCCGAAAGAGGCCCGCCCAGTCCCCAATGTATGGGTGTACTGGTGGTTTAAGGACAACTCAACAGACCTATATCAAAGTCTTCCACCATCCTCCACGGCTGGTACGAACCAGCGGTTCCATCCTTCCTCAGGATTCTCCGGTCCCTCCCCCCCTTTCGAACCAGCAGTTCCATCCTCCCCCCGGCACTGTAGGGTCCCATCCCCCTCTGGCTGTCTACTGCAACAACCAGAAAGCGACCTAGTGCCCTGGACTCTCCTCTCCCACCCCCCTCTGGCTGTCTACTGCAACAACCGGAAAGCAACCGAGTGCCCTGGTTGTGAGAAGGACTACTCCTGATTAACAGTGATTATGCTATTTTACTAATTTCCCCCCACACCAGTTTCACCAAATCACTTTTTCTCTTCGTCTGACCATCGGCAGCACCCCGAAAAGTGAAAACAAGTCCGCCGGTAGCGGTTCTCGGTAAAGCTTGGCGTGCAATCCGGGGACACCAGGCCCAGGTCTACTGGTGGTTTGAACCGTTAACGTCTCGTTAGAATGGGTTTCAAGGACCCTTTGGAAAAATGTGAAAACGCTCTCTAAGGAGTGTCCTAAATTTTTGAGGACTCCTGAGCCAAGTAGTTCTGATTCTCAAAGTACCTTGTGAGATACTTCGAAAATTTGAGGAATTCGGCATCGGAGCGGAGAGGGCATCCTCCGAATCTGAATAGTTGCTGCGTCCCATTGGCCGAAAGCCGGAAGCACAACTCTTCTGTTTTGGTAAACGAAGACTTTCTCAAGTATTTTTTGGACCGCTTTTCCGTCGATTTAGGCTCCTTCCCCTCCGTCGGAAGGACACGTATAACTGGGACGCTGAAAATCCTTGAAAATGTCAAAGGACTGGTCCTATTTTTTTAAAGGACCAGGACGCTGAAAATCCCCTATTTTTTTAAAGGACCAGGACGCTGAAAATCCTTGAAAATGACTAAGGACTGGTCCTATTTTTTAAAGGATTGCCAGGGAGTGTCTAACGAGACCCTTAGTACCAGGGTCGGAATTGACTCTGATTGAAGTATGCAAATATTTTTCTGGGAGTGAAAACACTTCTGTTTATTTCGGAAGTTTTCTCTCGTATGGTGGAACCTACTGCATCCCTTGTCAACAGAAACGAGGACAAAAAAACGCCAGTACCCATCCCAGCTATCCTGTGTGCACTCACCGGTGAACACGGCGCAGGGGAAAGGCTTTGGCCTGGCACGGATGAAAAATGACTGGTGGTGCCTGGTAGGCCTTTTGTCACCGTGACGGTTTGGATTGTGAGGGGTGGGCAAATATGTGCATCATGAAAAGGAGGTGCAGATGCACTGGTGGTCCAAGTGGAATGCACTTTTCTGTGGTTTCTCTTTTTCTTCAGAAACTTGGGCAACACTCGAGGAGGTGATAAGAGCACCCACCTAAAGTGGCCTTCCAAGTGAAGGCTCCGTCTATTGGTGGGCACCTGCTGGGAAGCGGGTCCATTGTCCCACTCATTACAAGACATTACTGCCAGTTCGGTGATCCGCTACTCATCTAATGCTGGCAATTACAATTATTCCACCTGTGTCCACTGCAGTGCCAGTGGCCAAGCTAGCTCTCCATTCCCTAAAGGCAAGGGAGGGGGGGGGGCAGGACTGTACGCTGCCCATCGGCCCCTGTACCGAGGAGAGAGCAGCCTGCCTCCACCTCTGTGGCTTTATTATGCCTGTCACCAATTACCGATGGCCCTCCTGGGTTGTGGATGTTCGGCCTGGGTGGAGATGGCTCCTGCGGCCCAGCTACTTGGTCTGGCTTGGTGGATCCATGTTGGAGGCTGGGCGCATTAAGCCGGCTGGCCAGTGGTCAGGTAGTGGTGTGGGCGACAGGGGTCTTTTTTTTTTTGGCCTTGCGGTATTCAAGAGGGTCCTATGTGTAACCAATTCCGCCACATGGGGCAATTTTCCTTTTCTAACCACCAGTGCAGGGCCCCAGCCAACTTCAGAATCACGATTGAGCCTGTCCGAAAAAATTGGGGCAACCGGACCGAACTGGCTGGCCGTGCTGGCATTTCCGCAGAGTTTGGCGCAGAGCGGGAATCCGCCTCGTACAAAAGAGGCACGGATGTACTGGTCCTTGGTGCGTCTGGTAGCAAATATGGTAGACTTGAGTTGCATTGTGGCCATACTCCTGCCCTGGTGCCATACTGCCGTCCTCCCCTGAGCATAACGTACCCTGGTCATGATTGTATACGAGCTATCTTTCCGCTGCGGTATGCCCACAGTGAGGGCTTTGTGTTTTTTTAGGGAAGACGGTAGGCCTGTTTTGACCACATATTGCTGCACCTGTGCAGTGCCTGGTATTATGTGGTGGTTTCTGAGGTGGTATGTAGCCAACCAAAATCTGAAAGAATCTGAAGGAAGCACAAAAAATACCACAAAGATAGGTTTAGATTTTTGTAAATTCACCAACTGTGATTCTTGGATGTCGGCCTGTCAAATATTGCTTGAAATGTTTTCGTTTGCAAGCTATTTTTGGTCTGTGCACGCCAATCGCATGTCTGCATCTGGTCTTGTGCTCAGTGTGGTGGTGCGGTGTCAGCTGGGTCTGATGACCGTCATGACCAATTTCAGATGGAAGTTTTAGTGTCGGGGTGTCTGGGGGGGCAAGAACGGACGGGGTGGGTGTTGCTCCTTTTGACAGAAATTATCGAATCGCTGTGTCGGTTGGCTGCCGGATCGGTTTGGTGATTATTAGCATGTCCATGTCCACAAAGAAATAGACAACAAATCAATAAGCAGGGTCGTGTCCACAATTCTTGGGGTGGGAAATTAGTGTCGGGGTGTCTGGGGAGCGGATGGGGTGGGTGTTGCTCCTTCTGACAGAAATGATCGTATCACTGTGTCGCTTGGCTGCCGGATTGGTTTGGTGATTGTTGGCATGGCCGTGTCCACAAAGAAAGAAACGACAAAAAAATAAGCAGCGTTGTGTCCACAATTCTTGGGGTGGGAAATTAGTTGAGAGAAGAGTGGTGTTCCGACTTTGACAATTTTTTGTGCTCAGACTTATATGCCGAAAAGAATCCGATAGAATGTAAGAAATCAGACTCATAGAATTGGTGGTTATCTTTGCAGGGAAAATATTTTAAAAATCAAGGGGGAAAAGTTTAAAGACGAGAAAATCAGTTTTCACGGTGAACGATCACTTTTTGTCCTTTTTTCTTTTTGCAGTTTTTGGCTCACTGCTGCTACCACTCGGCTGGATTTTGTTTTGCGAATCGCGCAAGTCCCTGGAATTTGCAAGTGGCAAGGAGGCTGGTGGTTTGCAGTGGCATTCCACCCTTTGCAGTTATTCACACTGCCACTGTCTTTGGTCGTACTATGTAGAATTGATGAGGAAATCGGAGTGATGATATTCTCGAGTTACCTCAGAGCCTCTTTTGCACGCGGCAGATTACCCCTGCGTGCCAAAAAAAAAAAAAGGGACTGCTACGACGGCGTTTTCGTTTTCTTGTGGCTGGCGCCGTCAGCATATTGGTCGGGAAGCAGTGTTCATCCGAAGAACCTGGGTTGGTGGAATTTCGATTCTCAAGTTTGCCTGCACGATGTGACGCACGTGCAGGGGGGGAACATGCGGAGATGGTGAGAGAGAGAGAGAGAGGGAGAGAGGCGATTGACACACACGAGAAGCAGGCGCACTGCTGCACACGAGGTACTGGTGGTTCACTGGCTCACTGCCAAACTTGCCTAAAGTGGCATTATCAGATCAACTCGACAGGTCATGATGGCCTTGATCGGTTGTTATCCATTTGCTTCAGGCCGCTGGCCCTGCACACCGAGTTTTGGCGGCGCATCTGGCCGCTGCCGGAGGCCGAGTGCGGCCCCCGTGTTCACCGGCGAAATGGCGACATGGCTGGGGAAGGTACTGGTGGTTTAAGACCACATCTCCTCAGGTTTGTTTTCACTTTCTTAAATGAGGGATCCCCTCAGGTCTGTACGATTCTGTTTTTTTTTCTTTTCTGGTCGGTCATATGAGTATACGATCTGCTGTCAACTAGACCACCAGCATGAAACTGCCGGTTCACCTGAAGCAAGCAGAGTACTGCTCTTGCTGCTTTATGTGGCAAGAGCATTTCGATTCAGGCCTGGGCCGGTAGCAGAAGCGGGAGGCCAGTTTGAAAAAAAAGGCGCAGTTGCAGGCTCGCGAGCATTGGAAGGTAGCTTTGTCGACTTAGGCTCGTTTGAGCTGGTGGTTTAAACCACCAGTACCTACCGGTTGGGACGGCCGTGAACGCGGTAGCGGAATCGGCCCGCCCCTTTGGTCCAAATTCATTCGAACCCAGGAGGTACGAAAAATGCGGGAGGTACTCGTGGTTTAAATTTCCTTGGCAAAAGGATTGGAGGGTGCAGATAAGGTCAGTAGAGACCTTTTAGAAGCCTGGCGAAGGTCGGGCACAGCTCCATCTCCAGATGAACTGTATCTCCACTCCTCGAAGTTGGGTTGCCAGGGGCTGCAGACTAGGTTCAGGGTATGTAGAGGTCTGGCCGAGGCCCGTGGAGGACGGGCTCAGCTCCGTTTTGAAGAGGAGATGTCTCTCTACTGCCTTCAAGTTGGTGTGGCAGGGCCTCTGGACTAGGTTCAGGTGGACTAGTAGTTTAATCAAGGGGAAAATTGCATCTGTACCCCACTTAGAGATGGGAATACCCGCTATACTCAGTCCCAGTGCCAACTTGCACCTATACCCGGAAAACGGCCAGTGGAAATTATTTTACTTCTCCCACTCCACCAGCCAACATATCCACCGAGTCCTTTTCTTTTTTTCTAAGAAAAAAAAGAGGGCAATGTGCTTGAGGTGGGATTTGCCTCCTTGTCTTTTCCTTCTGTGCTGTTCTTTTTTCTGGTTTCTGCTATTTGTTATTTGCTTGTTCAGTCACGAATATGACATGCTTCGATTCTTTGGCTGCCTGTGTTTGTTTGTAACCAGTGGACAGAAGAGAAAGGCAGGGGGTCTGAGCAAAGGCCACAAGCTGTCAGAGGGCCTGGCTTCAGTTCTGGGCGTGGACGAGCTTCCTCGTACTCAGGTGATTGACTCCTCCTCTGTGACTACCGTCTTCACCTGAATACAACGCCCGGTCATTGTAGCTGTATTTGGCACGACTTTCAGCCCAGATACGGCGCTAATTACCAGGCGTTCTATTCGGGTGAAGACGGCAGCAACTCCATTGCATGTCTGACGATCGACTCCTCGGCGACAAGCAACTCCCTGCATGTCCAGTAAATGTCGTACTGCAGTGGGCACGACGTGAACATGTTTTGCCAGTTGAGGCTGGGCATTTTGGCTCTCTGTCCTGGGTTCCCCTCTCTACCTCCTCAGCAGCCTCTGCTGAATAGATCTGTTCTGAACATGTCCGACCCGACACACCTGCTTTCAAGACTTTTAGCGGACATGTCTGACAGGATGCACCTGCAATCAAGACTTGTAGCGGACATGTCACGCACGCACACCTGCGATCTGCGATCAACACTTTTGTGAAGCGGGTTACTACGCAAACAGTTCTCCTGGGTACAGGTCCAGAGTTCCTTGCAATACACAAAAAGTGATGTTGAATTACAACTTGCAAGTTGAATTAGGAGCAGGCCCTGGGGTTGAGAGGCATGTGCGTAAAAGGAGGGCCGTAATAGTGACCAGGTTCATGCTATGAAAGCATACGATGAACAGAACACCAAAGCGGGCTGGCCCTTACTCCATCCCTCTTAGACGGGCGCTGAATGAGAACATAGGTGCAGAGTAAAAACAAACAAACAAACAAACAAACAAACAAACAAACATAGGTGCAGAGTCCTGCGGGACATCCGTTAAAATTGGAATAATACAGAGAAGATTAGCATCGCCCCTGCACAAGGATGACACGCATAAATCGAGAAATGGTCCAAAAAAAAAAAAAAAAAAAAAACATAGGTGCAGAGTGAACCCAAAAGTTGGTATATGTAGGCCCGCTGTGATCCGCCACAATTGATTATAGAGTCGCCTGTTCCACTTTCTCTAGAACTTTGGAATGCATCTGATGCACCTGACGATACAACTTGAGCTACCTTCTGACCCTCTTTAGTTGCACCGTGAATCTGAACGCCACTGCATGAGTGACTCATGACTCGTGACTGCAGTAGTATGATCGCCTGCTACTGACATGACGGCATCAAGACCCTCCTGCAGAGCAAAGGGGGGCCCTCCTCACACAGCCACCTTGTTCACGTACGCTTCCCCTGGTATAGCCGGGTACTTCTCTATGATCTGACTTCATATGGAATCGAATCAGCAATCTTTGTCTCGAGAACCAGATAACCGCTGAGCTCTGACAGGCTGTTCAAAAGTGGAGCCATACAGGTCATGAGATCAGCCCAACCTCTTCGCACCGGCCCTCCTCATGCATCAACCTGCTGTGGTTGCAATATACGACTAGGTACTGTGACAAGTGGCATGGTTCAAGACTTCTCCCGATCCCTATCCTGTTCGGAACCGGACCAGCTCTCTCTAGTGTGCCACTGCCGGATGCCTAACGACTCAGTAATCCCGTGCTCAAAAGTTTATCCATCCCAACTGTGGCATCCATCCCAATCCTGCGCCGTAATAACAGTATAATCACTCACTGCAGGGGACGTGGGCCCTCCTCAGGTAGCCACTTGGTCCACGCATGCCTCTCCGCCACCTTCTGCTCCGAGCAGTACTGTTTGGTACTCGATCTTTGTCGCATCTGCTGAGGCCTTCAGCCCTGCAATCGTGATGCCATGTTTCAAGAGGGAGCCTTGCCGGTTGTGACGTCCATGCCATCCCTTCATGGCTGCAGCTTGATTACTTTGTCACCCACAGGGCATTACTTGAGATCTCCATGCGGGCTACATGGCCCCGTCCTCAGAAGTGCCATCACTTGCCCGTACATTTCCGGTACTTAGTACTGTTCCGTACTTCTCTTTGATCTGACCCTGAAACGAAAAATGGGACTGGCGATCTCTGTTGCAACTGTTGGATCCAGGCAACTGGAGAACCTGTTTTGAGTCTCTCCGAAAATTTAGGAGGCCGAGCGCTGTAGATCAAATGAATCGGAGGTGGGTGGCCTCCGAAAGGGGTCCGCGGCCAATAGCTGACATGTACTGGTGCTTTAAGCCAGTTCAACCATGCAGTCGAGAACCTCCTGCAGGTCACTTGGGTCCCCCCGGCAAGATGGAGCGTTGTGTAGAGTCGCTGATCTCTGGCTCAACAGTCGTCGCCTGCCTTGATAACTGCAACCATCCGCAGTGCCCAAAAGTTGAGCCATACGTCGTGATTTCTACCACACAGCTGCATGGCTACTGTTCAGGATTTCTCTTTTTATACATGTTCGCAGTCTTCGTAGTAACAGGGCAGATTTTAGCATTGAGCGTCAACTTAGTTGTGGAATCATTGAATGCTTATTTTGACTCGGAAACGACAGGAACACACGTGGTTAACCAGGGGTGTTATTTTTGACGAATTTTGCACCGAATTGCACTGAAACTGTCATATTGTGCTGATTTTTTGCTTTTCTTCTTGTTTTTCTTTTTGTGTGATATATATGTGCTTTAGGGTACATCATGTGTGCAGTTTTGACATGTTTGGATCAATAATGAAAAAGTTGGCATTTTGTTGAATTCGCTGGACGCTTCATTTTGACTCGGACAGTGTTTTTGTGTTAGGGTTTCATAGTGTTTTTTTTGTTTTTTGTTTTGTTTTTTTTTGCCTGTTTCCGGAATCCGACTTCGTTTATTTAAAAAAAATGAAAAACGAAATTCGATTTAAACAAAATATTAAAAAGAAAAAATAAAAAGAAAAGCAGCAATTTTTTTTTGGCATTTTTTATCACGAGGGATATGGTCCCTGAGGTGTGCTGTATTTTTTTTTGAAATGATTTTCGTTTTTTTGTTCGGAAACTAGGTGTTTAAAAAAAATGAAGATGCAAAAATTTAAAACAAATCAACAAAAAAAACGGGCCAGGCTGGGGTTGGTGTGTGTCTGTATCCTCTTGTGTGTGTGTGTGTGTGTGTGTGTGTGTGTGTGTGTGTGTGTG